CCAGGAGTTAAACCAAGGACAGTACCAAAAACAAAACTGAGAAGACATTTAAGCAAGGCACAAACTCAGACTTCCACCCCACCAAGGGTAAACCCCAGGGGAAACGAGGTGGAAAAGTCTGATAATCAACCACCTGGACATGCTGAACTGATAGCACAGGAAGTAACAAAACAGATGAATGAGGCTCTAGAAAATTTAAAAGCAGAAATAATCTCCCAGATATCTGCAGAGATGGTGAGCAGAGTGAAAGACATGATTAGAGGTTCTAGAACAGAAACAGATAAAAAGTAGATGAGCTCAGAAACATGCAGGAAGCCATGAATACCCAGCACAAGAAAGAAATGGAAACCATGATCATCCAACATAAGAAAGAAATGGAATCCATGAAACAGATTCAAAGATATTCAGGAGATTAAAAACTCCTTTGAAAGTATCCACAACAGATTAAGGGAATCTGAAGATAGAATATCAGATATAGAAGACAGGATCACAGTTAAGGACAATGAAAACAGAGATTTCTTAAAAATAGTAAGGAACCACAAGAAATCAATCCAGCAGGTGCTAGACAATGCAAAGAAGAATAGTATAAGAGTGATAGGAACCAAAAAAAAAAGAGTGACAGGAGTCCATGAAAAAATAGGATAAATTTCAATTGACAGAAAAAAAACTATTCACAGAAGTAATAGTGGAAAACTCCCCAGACAAAGGTAGAGAATTGGAGATACAGATAAGTGAGGCATACAGAACTCCAACTAGCCATGATCAAAAAAAATTCTACACCTAGACATATAATAGTCAAGATCCCAGAAATCAAACAGAAGAACAAAATCCTACAAGCAGAGAAAAGAATTAAATCACATACAAAGAAAAGCCCATCAGAATCATAGCAGACTTCTCAACACAAACCCTCAAGTCAGGGAGAGCCTGGAGTGAAGTATTTCAAGCCCTAAAAGAAAATGACTTCTAAACTAGACTGTTGTATCCTGCAAAATTATCTTTCAAAATTGATGGGGAAATTAGATACTACCATGACAAAGAAAACCTGAGAAATTTTATGAACACCAAACCAGCACTATAAGCAATTCTAAACAATATCCTAGAAAAAAAAACAATGAAGGTCACAACTCCATGAGGCCCAACAGAGGAAAGCCACCAGGCAAGGTAAGACACTAAAGGGAAAGGGGGAAAATAAGAAATAAAAGAGCCAACAAAAGTAAAACATCATGACAAGGATGAACCAATATCTATCAATTATAACCATCAATGTTAATGGCCTCAATTCACCAATCAATAGAAATAGACTGGCAGAATGGACTAAACAGTAAAATCCAACAATATGCTCTATACAAGAAACACACCTAACTCAAAAAGAAATTCATAGACTGAAAGTAAAAGGTTGGAAAAAAGTTCTCCATTCCACAGGAACCCAGAAGAAAGCAGGGATAGCAATATTATTTGCAGACAAAGTAGATTTCAAACCAAAACTAATTAAGAGAGACAAAGATGGTCACTACATCCTTGTGAAGGGAACAAT